CTATCTCTATGGGTTGGATCGTATTTGGATGACCTTGTAAACATCATAAAAAAAATTGGAAATGTACATTTTGCACTTTTCATTCTAGAATGACTACAGATTATAACACAAAAACATAAATGTTTAGTCTAAATAGCTTAAAATCTCATAACATTATACATTTATATATATATTTATTTATTTTTATTATATTGACCTTTCAGCCATGCTTGGCTAACATTACAGAAGTTACAATGACACGGCACACATGCACTCATGTTACTGTATCCAGTAATATAAAACTGGTCTTTACAAAGTGACCTGTCTTGGCTGTACAGTCACATTTCAGTTATAATACATTATTACAATTTATAAATAAGTTCTTAAACCTATTTTTCTTAAAACATAGAACAGTAAATAAAGAAGTAAAGTAAACAATTATCTCTTCTAGTTACAAACTTTGTACTCGTTTGCTGCTTGATGTAGGTTGCTAAGCCTTATCAAATTTTGCACGTGGAGGATGTGAAACGATATAATTTTTACATTTTTAATTTACCAGAAATCATAAATTACTACATCAATACCATAGAATTCCTCTATAATTTATCAAGTTTAGTAACTAAGCTGTATTTGGGTCTAAAAAAATATGAAATTTCAAGCTCACTAATGTCTTACCTTACCCCTGGGAATCTAGCATGAAGAGAAAGAGTTTACTGCCCAAATACTTCAAAGAGGCTGAGAAGCCTCTAGGGGACATTCTGAGCTTTTGATTGGTTATACCCTTGTAATCACATTCAACATATTATTGAATTACTATTTTATAAACGTATGTCAATAAGTTTGGTATCAAACTGTAGATTATAATTCAAATTTTAGTATTAGACATTAGTTAATTTCTTAATTTAAAAGTACATATTAAAAAAAAGATATCTTAAACGTCGATTTTTGTGTGTCACGTGGTATGTCAAATGCAGCATTGGTTCAAGAAGATGTTTGTGATGTCCAAATACAAAGTCTATAGTTTCTTGTAAATTAGATACTCATATTACCAATATATACAAGCTAGAATGTAAAATAAGAACCTCCTATCTTTTCTATTTTCTGAGATATTAATATATTTATTGAATCAACCAAGGTGGCCCCACCCACCTCTTCAATTTTTGTAAATACCTGCTTACATACACCTACTTTGCCCAATGACATTTATATTGACGTGCATGGATTCATCCTGTTTGATTAAAACATTAATCCAGTTTGTGTTATGTGGATGTGTATTTTGAATTCAGTCCGGATTCATCCTGTTTGACTAAAACATTAATCCAGTTTGTGTTATGTGGATGTGTATTTTGAATTTAATAATGTATAAAAAATAATGTACATCACATTGTGTTTAAGTATGTTTCATTGTTTCTCAGGAATAGAATTGTAATAATGAATGTATTCAGGGGGAACAGATTACATTTTAAAATTTCATTCCTAATTTAATCTTTGATCGTATATGAAAAATAACAACTCTCGGGTGAAACTATTGCATTATATGATTTACCCAGTTGAAAATAAAAACATATATCAATATCTTAAGTTTTGATATTTAATATTGTAATTGTAAGAAATATTGAATCTTTATATTTATATAGAACAGTTATTGTTAAGTTACGTAAGGTTTATAAAGAATTAGCAGTTTTACATTCAGGTACTATAAAGTTCTGGAACGTAGTAATGTGAATATATGCTCACTACAATAAAGATATATAAGTTGTACAGAGAACACATAGTTGATCCTTGATTTTTATTTTTTTACTAAAAACCCGATTTTTTAATAGTTACGGGTACAATAGTGTGTCACAATTCAAAATAATTATATGTAACTTTATTAAAGTAGCTTTACTGTAGCATATAACATTTCTACCAGCTGGAAGAAGTTGTTTAACTTACAATTAACCAATCGCATGTATGATATCATTATTATTATCAAAGGTAACTAACATAGCTGTGACTTTGTATTGAAGTAAATGATAACTGTCAGTGTAAGTCCAGAAGACTTGTATTTAAAAATCTTGTGTACTGAATAATTTAGAGGAATTAATTAGTAGCATCAGTGCTACATATTTTTGAAATTCTATGTAAATCTTGTTTTGTGCTCTTGTTCAAAGTACAAGTTGTATCGTTACAAGTGTTTGTTTTATCGTTGTAGCTTGTACGAACTGTGGGATGGAAGGTCATAGCTCTAACAGTTGGTATCTATGGTTTGTTATATCTCTATGAGCGATTAACATGGACGAATAAAGCCAAAGAAAGATCTTTCAAGAAACAGTACGTCAACCATGCTACTCGTAAGCTAAAACTGATTGTTGACTTAACAAGTGCTAACTGCAGTCATCAAGTCCAACAGTAAGAAAACCCTTTTTTTTAATTAAATCTAGTACTATAATTTAACTTAATTCTATCCATCAAAATATAATCTATCTACGTAACAGCTGGTTATATTTTCATCTAATTTCTCTCCACTGAATGCAGTGATTGTAAGTTATTTGTCAAAGTTGTAAGCTAAAAAGTTGAAAGATAAAATTGATTGAGAGTTTACAGTGATTACTCGCTACTTGTGAATATTGTAAGGTGACAAACAGAACAATTAATTCAGAAGTAAAAGACAAAATCAATGTGAAAGTTTAACAACACAAAAACTATTGAGAGACTACAATGAATGATTGTTGTTTGTGAAGGTTGTAATCTAACAAGTTGAATGTTTATTTGAAAAGTAGATAAAATACTTGAGTACAGTAATCTTTTGTTGTATAGTGAATATTGTTTGATAAGTTTAGAAGATAATACAAGTTTAGAAGGGCTTACAACACTAAAATTCTGGGTTTGATACCGCTGCAGTGGACACAGCAGACAGACCAGTGTTGCTTTGCTATTTGAATATTGTTTGATAAGTTTAGAAGGTCTTACAACATTAAAATTCTGGGTTTTATGCCCTGCAGTGGACACAGCAGATAGCCCAGTGTTGCTTTGCTATTTGAATATTGTTTGATAAGTTTAGAGGGCTTACAACACTAAAATTCTGGGTTTGATACCCCCTGCACTGGAAACAGCAGATAGCCTAGTGTCGCTTTGCTCTTAAACAAACAAGTAAGCAAATAAATATGAAAAATATGAACAAAATTTAATTAGACAGCAGTGATTGTTGTTTGTAAGTGTACAGGCTAAGTTAAAGAAAATTGCTTTAAAATTAAAGATTAATCACTGAAATAGTAGTGATTGGTTGATGTTTGAAAAGGTTGTAATTCTACTAGTGCATTAGGAAAAAAGAAAACCAATGAGAGAGAGAGAATGCTGTGAAAGGCTGAAAATTTACTTTCAAAATAAAGTTATTTACCAGATACCATATTTTCAGGTGTTTTAGCAGAATAATATAAAATCAATAAGTGATTTAACTAATTTATTTAGAATTTTTTCATTTTATGTATATTTTGTTTGTGTGTAATGTAAGAGGCGTTATATGTATATTTTGTTTGTATGTAATGTTAGAGGTGTTATGTTTCTGAATACAACGTTAAATGTAAGATCTATCGCTACAGGTGAAATAAGTAAGTCGCAGAACTGTATGTTTCTGAATACAACATTAAATGTAAGATCTATCGCTACAAGTGAAATAAGTAAGTCACAGAACTGTATGTTTCTGAATACAACATTAAATGTAAGATCTATCACTACAAGTGGACTTACTTATTTGGCAGAACTGTATGTTTCTGAATACATTAAATGTAAGATCTATCACTACAAGTGAAATAAGTAAGTCACAGAACTGTATGTTTCTGAATACAACATTAAATGTAAGATCTATCGCTACAAGTGAAATAAGTAAGTCGCAGAACTGTATGTTTCTGAATACAACATTAAATGTAAGATCTATCACTACAAGTGAAATAAGTAAGTCACAGAACTGTATGTTTCTGAATACAACGTTAAATGTAAGATCTATCACTACAAGTGAAATAAGTAAGCCACAGAACTGTATGTTTCTGAATACATTAAATGTAAGATCTATCGCTACAAGTGAAATAAGTAAGTCACAGAACTGTATGTTTCTGAATACATTAAATGTAAGATCTATCGTTACAAGTGAAATAAGTAAGCCACAGAACTGTATGTTTCTGAATACAACATTAAATGTAAGATCTATCGTTACAAGTGAAATAAGTAAGCCACAGAACTGTATGTTTCTGAATACAACGTTAAATGTAAGATCTATCGCTACAAGTGAAATAAGTAAGTCACAAAACTGTATGTTTCTGAATACAACATTAAATGTAAGATCTATCGCTACAAGTGAAATAAGTAAGTCACAAAACTGTATGTTTTAATTCAGAGAACTTAGCAGCACATTCGCTCGACTCTGTCAGTTGGTTGATGATGTTGTCAGTGACATGCAAGGAGAAATCAAGCGACTTGACACAGAAGTGGAGAACTTAGACGAATGTTCGGCCACTGCTAGGATTCTAAGGTGAGTATTGGATTGAAAGTTTCCCTTGTTTGTCCTAACTAATTCATAAAGGCCGAAATGTTAATATAGACTATTTCCAACCACATTTTGTGTTAGTCAAATGCTAGAATGCTAAAGTTCTCTTTATACCATGTTCTACTTGTCACTTCAAATTCTTTAAGTTTCAATGTGGAATTTGAGCGTCTTCAAGTGCTCTAAAGAAGTGTATATGAACTTGAACAAAGGTTATAAAAATACACTAAAAAATTAAAATAATCATATATAACTTTCAACCGTTCTTCTTGTGTATTTATTGTTTTTAAAATTGTTGACTTGCATTCATACACAATGGTGAATACTTCCAGATCAAACATGTGGTTCAGAAAGTGTTTAAAATTGGCACAAACATGTAAAAAAATTATTAATGTAACTTTGATTCTGAAAAAAAAATCACTATTAACTTGGGTTGAAAAATGTGATTATAATTCTTGGTGAATTATTTCATCTCGTTAGTACTGACAGACTGAAAATCATTGTATATCAATGAATCTAAGAAGATTCACAGTACCAATCCAGAGAATTATAATTAACATATAACATGGAGAACATACTTAAAATTTTCTAATTATGTACTATTTTAAACACTAAACTGATACGTGTATAAATTATAATTTGGAAAATTTGTATCATTTTAAAAAACTTGGTGTTGTTTCAAGACAGAAAAATTATCACCAGAGGATGTAGTAGTAAAAAATAGTCGAGTTTTATGTTGTTTATTTTTTACATAATGTTAATTTTCTTTCTTAACCGGTGAACTTTACTAATTATCCACAGAAACAAGGCAGGATACCTACTGAGTGAGCTTGAGACTTTTAATCAACAATATTTACAGTACGACCAGTGAACCCATAATAGGATATTGTCCTAACTAATGGCAACTCCACATTTGTGATGTAAGATGTGGGACTAGAAACAGCCAGGAATTTTGATGATAGAGTTAATAATGAACTGTCTGAATGCTGTGGTTATAAAAAGTTATTCACATTAAAGAAAACTATATACGATTCAACACTGTAAGTTATTTAAAACATTACCGTACTGAATAGAAATATTTAGAAAGTGAAAAGAATGATCAAATTATTGAATAAGTATGTACAATTTAAAAAAAAAAAATCCCTTATTATTATTATTACTAGAGACAATTATCTGATTGATTTATTTAAGACTATGGAAAAGCTAATGAAATTTGTTTTTTACTCAATTTATCTGCTATATTTACTTTTCAAACATAGAGAATAAAAATGTCTGTTGTAACTGCCCACTACATGAAACTATAAGAAGTGTCCACACTGTTAATTTTCATGTTTTCACTTTAACCTTTTACATAAAACCTATTGGAAAATATTAGAATTTATTGAAATATCTTACATCATCTGCTATCTAACTTCTTGTCATGTCCACAACTACTGTCTAACTTCTTGTCGTGTCCACAACTACTGTCTAACTTCTTGTCGTTTCCACGTCTACTGTCTTAACTTCTTGTCGTGTCCACGTCTACTGTCTAACTTCTTGTCGTT